CATGGTGCCGATCAATGATGACACAATGTCAAACGGTGTGTCAAAGAGGGGTTTGTGAGGGGCAAACTTCAACATTCAGCAATCGGTTTTTACGTTCCGTCACCCAAATTGTTACGCACTGATTGATAACATGCCATCTGTATTATGGGTGTGGACGGGGTATATGGTTCGTTACAAATCGTACACTTCCACGGAGGGTTTATTAACGGCACCACTGAGTTCGTCACTCCTGCGAATTTATGTATGCAATGGATTATCCTATCTAATTCGGAAAACTTCTGTTGCCAATATAAAAGCTGAAGGTATAATGATTCCTCATGGTGAACATCAAGTGTTTTACCCGATTGTACGTACGTGGAAATGTTGAATGTAGGGTTACCATACGTTTTATTTGATCACACGATAACATTATTTGTTGTTGAGTTTGCTGAAGAAGAAAGCGTTGGCGTGGTGCCAAAGAGTTGGTTGACTGGCACCAACCAAACGTTTTGGCCCAAGATTGTCAGCAACAAAACGTGAAGGATGATAGAGCAACGACAACCTCCTCCGAAACATTCTGATACTCCCGAGATCCTTGTGCATAGATTTGTTGGTAAGTCTAAATCATGTTATAACTTTTATAGACACCTGTGCCGGGGCTGTACGCCTAGAAAGCATACCAGAAGATCAAACGGAGTTGCAATCGATGGATGCCACTGTTGCCATGGAAAGGAATGGCCAACGCAATCCGTAATTCCATTATTTCGTAAATTCAATTTGCTGTAAGCCACTTGTAAGTTCATATAGAACCTATGACTGCAAAGATCCCAAACGACAATGTCCAATATATCTGGACAAGTCCAGAAGTCTTTGTCTGGAGGACATGTCCATTTGAAAACCACTGCGAGAAATGGAGAATTACATGATTCCGTCAACCGGCAGGTACACAATTTATTATGATTGTTGCTTGTTTAGAAGCCATCCCAAAATAATAATAATAATAATAATGGTATATTTCACGAAGCCCGTGAAGCATGCTT